CCAAAGATAAGCCAAGTGGGTGGAAAGAGTAACAATAACAAAAACTTGTTTATCCACGCCAGGCATGGTGGTGCAAGCCTGTAGTCTCAGCCATTCAGGAGGCTGAGGCAGGAGGATCACTTGCGCCCAGGAGTTTGAAGTTGCAATGAGCTACCATTGCACCACTGCACTCCAGCATGGGTGACAGATTCAGACTCTGTCTCAAAAATAAAATAAAAGAAAAAGAAAAACCTTGTTTGTCTCACTGCTCTCAGTGGAACACACAGCATCTGATGTGTTAATTTCAACAGTAGGTTCTGCTAAACCATTTTTTAAAAAAATTCATGAACCTGGCTGGGCACAGTGGCTCACGCTTGTAATTCCAGCACTTTGGGAGGCCGAGGTGGGCAGATCACCTGAGGTCAGTAGTTCGAGACCAACCTGGCCAACATGGTGAAACCCCATCTCAAAAAAAAAAAAAAAAAAAAATTCATGAACCAAAATACCTTGATAAGAACAAAGGCTCCCAGTGTTAGAAACAGGAGAATATCTTTAGGACTCGGGTTTTAGGTACATTTTATTTTATTTTTTTTTTAATTTATTTTTGAGACGGAGTCTTGCACCATTACCCAGGCAGGAGTGCAGTGACACAACATTGCTCATTGCAACCTCCACCTCCTGCATTCAAGTGATTCTCCTGCCTCAACCTCCCGAGTAGCTAGGACTACAGGTGTGTGCCACCATTCCCAGCTAATTTTTGTATTTTTTAGTAGAGATAAGGTTTCGATATGCTGGCCAGAGTGATCTCAAACTCCTGGACACAGGTGATCTACCTGTCTCAGCCTCCCAAAGTGCTGGGATTACAGGCTTGAGCCACTGTGCCGGCCTAGGTATATTTTCCAACACAGGGTTATGAAATGTCCCAGCCCTCTCTTGCCAGAGAGATGAGACTCTGGGGAAGGTAGCAAGAGACTCCAGGTGTGGGAGGAGGGGCTTAAAAACGTTTTATGTCATCTCCAAAGGCACTCTGGCCCTTATTCAGATTCACCCAGACTGGATGAAGCAGGAGTTCTTGGTATTAGTAATTGTCAGCTAAGCATGGTGGTTCACGCCTATAAATCTCAGGGTCTTGGGAGGCTGACGTGGGAGGATCGCTTGAGCCCAGGAGTTTGAGACCAGCCTGGGCAACACAGTGAAGGCGCCATCTCTACAAGGACTAAGTAATAAAAATATTTAAAGAATTAGCTGGTTGTGATGGTGCATGCCTGTAGTCCCAGACAGGAGAATGAGACAGGAGGATCTCTCAAGCCCAAGAGTTTCAGACTTCAGTAAGCTAAGACTGTGCCACTGTACTCTTGCCTGAGCAACAGAGACCCACTCTCTCTCTCTCTCTCTATATATATATATATATATATATATAATTGCAAAACGTTTCCTCAGCTTAAGACCTTGTGGGTCTTTTAGAAGCATGATCACAGACACAAACACAGATCCCGCATTTGCCCTATCTGAGCTACCAGAATCTTTAGTCCTCCCGAGAAGTGGGGGGTTGGTGGTGGAGCGACTCTTAAGTCTAGGTGCCCTGAGAACACCCCTTCTGGTATCCACTTCTGTCTCTTGGTTCTCCAAGCTGCCCTTGTAAAAGATGGCCAGTTCCTTTCCCCTGGTCCCCATTCTCACTTCTGGGGTAAAAAGGAATTACAAAAAAAATCCTTGTCAGTTTTCAGCCAAAGTCTGAAATTTATTGCAAATTACCTTTAGAAAGTTAAATGTGGTCTGGCGCAGTGGCTCACTCCTGTAATCCCAGCACTTTGGGAGGCCAAGGTGAGCTGACAACCTGAGGTCAGGAGTTTGGGACCAGCCTGGTCAATGTGGTGAAACCCCATCTCTACTAAAATTACAAAAATTAGCTAGGTGTGGTGACAGATGCCTGTAATCCCAGCTACTCGGAAGGCTGAGGCAGGAGAATTGCTTGAGCCCTAAAGGCAGAGGTTGCAGTGAGCTGAGATGGCGCCATTGCACTCCTTCCAGCCTGGGCAACAAGAGTGAAACTCTTATCTCAAAAAAAAGAAAAAAAAAAAAAAAAAGAAAGTTAAATGCATCTGTTTTCACAGCCTGACTTCCCCAAGAATGGGACAGAGCTCCAGAGCTCTCTCTGGACCACAGGTGGGAATTGGCAGCACTGCTCAGGCAGATGTCATCCTGGGACCAAGGACCAGACATTTTCTTACTTGTTGATCAAAAGAATTAGGGGCCACTTAACATTCTGTCATTTACACCTGTGATTCCAGTATTTTATGCTACTCAAGAATATAGATTTTATTTTGAAGTGAAATTATAGAAAAAATAAAGAATATTGCTTTTATTTATTTATTTATTTATTTATTATTTATTTATTTAGAATATTGCTTTTAGACTGAGCATGGTGGCTCATGCCTATAATCCCAGTACTTTGGGAGGCCAAGGTGGGAGGACTGCTTGAGGCCAGGACCAGCCTGGGCAACATAGTCACATCTTGTCTCTACAAAAAATTAGTTGAGTGCAGTGGTGTACCCCGTTAGTCCCAGCTACTTGGGAGGCTGAGTGGGAGGACAGCTTGAGCCAAGGAATTCAAGGCTGTGGTTTGAATTCCTGGGATTGTGCCAGAGCCTTCCAGCCTGTGTGACACAGCAATATCCTGTCTCTAAAGAAAAAGAAATAAATAAATAAACTGCCTTATAAAACATTAGCCAGGTGTGGTGGCACACACCTGTAGTTCCAGCTACTCAGGAGGCTGAGGTAGGAGGACAGCTCGAACCCCAGATTTGGAGGCTGCAGTAAGCCACCATCACACCATTGCACTCCAGCTTGGGTGACAGAGGGAGACCCCGTCGCAAAAAAGAAAAAAAAAAAAATATATATATATATATCAACTTCAAAAATAGATGCAATGTATATTTAGTAATCTAAGTATCTATGTAGAAATGCTATGTTTGACTCATTGGCAGGTAAGAGTTCATGGCCCAATGTTTTTTATTAAAAAAACAGCTTTCATCGTACACGCTGTGGTGACGTCATTTTTCTTTCAGAGGATTATTACTTTTTAAAAGCTTCTTAAAATCCAAGTTAAAGCTGTTACATTCTGACCCAGTCTTAGAGCTGATTGGCTCAAAACCTCTGTGGGCCAGTAATGCTACATTACCCTGGAGGGGCAGGCAGCGTGGGGGTCAGGGAGCTGACAAAGCCAGCCCTCCTACTGGCCAGCACGCACATTCCAGGGGATAAATAGGATTAAGGGCTCTAAAGAGGATTCCCAGCCCTCCCGCAAAGGAGGATCAAACACACTGGTCTAGTTCCGGCAAAAAAAAAAAAAAAAAAGAAAAGCCCCAGAGAAGGAGAAAGTGCCAGTTTAAACAGCAGGTGGCCCTATCCCAAGCCCCTGCTCTTTCTCTTACCCCCATCTCTGGATGGCTGGGGAGAGCCCTTTTCTGCAGGCAAGTGTGCGCACTGGGTCCGTGAGAGTGGGTTCAACCCACCCTCTTTGGTTTCCTAAATAGGGCCAGCCCCTGGGTGGCAGTGGGAGGTCATGACCTCAAATCTCTTCTAGCTGCTTTTGGTGACGGATGGATAAACTCTGCCGGGAAGCGCTAGCGCGCCTTAGAGAAAGCCCTTTGTATGAATTGCTCTCGGTACACTCTCCTAAATTTAGGCCCCGAAAGATGAAGGTAATAAAAATTGCTGACATCTGATTGCAATTTGTTTCTTGTCCAGGAAACAGATCAACCAACCACACAGAGCCAAACAGCACCGCTCTCCAAGCTTCACTCCACCCCACCCCACTTTTCAAACTGTCCCACGCGGAGAGGGGGCGACACCGGCAGGAGTGGGGGTTTACAGGACTCCCTGTAAAGACGCCCCAACAGCACACGTGTTAACTCATTAACTCGGAGGGATCTGGGGACACTGTGACGGTTTTCTATTAATAGGGAATAAAGCTCCTGCAGACATTAGCGGTAATGCCCTGACCGCCCGCGCAAAGTTAACCCCTCCAGGGCCAGCAAGAGGAAACCGTGTCCTGCCCAGGCAGAAGTGCGCTGGAAACGCGCGTGTCCCCATGCACACACGAGGTTTTAGGACCGCTCCCCTTGCACAGGCCAGACCCCACACCCATCCCGAGTCTTGTCTCCGGGGAGGGAGCGGGGGCGGGCAGGCGGCCGTCGGGTGTCCGTCAGCTCAGCTTCGCCACGCACACGGCTAGGGCCACAGCCGCCAGCAGCACGGCAGCGAAAAGGATGGCGGCCAGGGCCTTCCTGGGGTCGAAGCCCCCCTGGCGCTCCTCCACGGACACAACCGAGGAGGGGCCGGCGCCGACCGTGGACAGGAGCTCGGCGCCAGGCGCCTGCCGGGCTTGCACGGTCCAGCGGGGCACGTTGACTTTCATCTCCATGTTGTCAATCATCTCGCCCACCTGAAGGACCTCGCGCTCCAGCTCGCGCAGGTCCGCGACGTCGAAGTCGCCCTCCGCCTCAAGCCGCAGGCTGCGGGTGCTCAGCGCGCGCGCCGCCACGCCGGAGGAGGCGCCCGCCACGCCCGTGCACACCAGCGGCCGCCGCGGTGCGTGCAGCGGGAACGCGGCGCCCAGGTCCAGCGCGCGTCGCATGTCCGCTTCCAGCAGGTCCAGGCAGCCCGAGAAGGCCACCCAGAGCCGCTCGAACTCCGCGCGCTCCTCGGCGGCCAGGCCCCGGTCGCGCAGCACGGCAGTCAGCCGGGAGCAGGTGGCCACTGCCAGCTCCTGCGCTTTCTGGCGCGTCTTTTGCAGCTCCTGCCGCAGGTTCTGCGAGTCCGCCGAGCCGCCGACGGTCAGCACCAGGTGGTGGTAGCACGCGGTAGTCTTGTTGAGCCCGTCCAGCAGCGCCTTGCACTCCTCCCTCGCCATCGCGATGCGCTCTGGCGGGGACCGGCCGCCCGCGCCCCTGTTGGCCTCCCCCTCAGCTCCGCGGGACGCGGCCAGCCCCCGTCCAAGCCTCGGGCCGCGCGGCCCGAACGCTCTTCATGGTCCGTGACTCGCTAGGCGCTGCTGCCAACGTCCACGGAACTCGCCCGGGAGCCTCGACGTGCGCCTCAGCGGACGGGGCGCGGAGAGGGAACCCGGTTAGCTGTCCCCCGCCCCCTCGTTCATCCTCCCCAGGCGCTCACACACCGAGTCTCTGCGCCGCCCTGGCCTCCACGTTGGCTCCTCGCGAAGCTGAGGGTGCGGTCCCCATCCTCTACAGGTGCCGACCCCGGGGCGAGCAGGCAGCAGAGCCGTGCGCTCCGCCTTAGGCGCTGCCAAGGGAGGCCGGGTCGGGTTTCCTAGGACCCGCCCACCCCGCCCGCCCGCCCCGGCCGGAGCTGCCATCCCCTGGATCAGGGGTAGGCGGGGCTCCGCGCGGGGAAGTCACGTGTGGGTCGCCCATCCCTCCCTCCTCTTCACCCCATCCGAGTTCTGGAATGTTAGCGCTCTGGAAATCCAACCTATCCTATTTCATGGATGGCAAAACTGGTAAAAACGGGTCCAGGCTCCCACGGAGTTTTTGCCAATGAGGGGACTAGAACCCAGGGATACTGACTCCCGGACCCTGTCAGCGACAGGACGTGGGGTGCCCCTCAGGAGTGGGCACCTCCGTGCCCCAAAGCGCGCAGTGACTGGCAATCCCAGGGGCTGGGCGCTAACCGGTCGGGTGCCTCCGCAGCATCGCGCTCAGGCTGGCCCCGGCTTCGAGCGCGGACCCCACCCCTAGTGTCAGCCCGGCTCCCGGCTCCGCCCCTCCCTGTTCTGGGCACGCGCAGTTGCTGGCGCGGGGCGGGGTCAGCTGGAGTAGGAAGTGCAGGGAGCCGTCTGAGCCCCGCCTCCGGCTGGGCTGGACTCAATGATTGCTCTGCGCCCACGTCACTCTGGGAAAGATCGGTTGCTCATTGGGTCAGCCATGGCGCGGCTCCGCCCCACGGCGGAGTAAGTGGGGGGCTGTAGGGCAAGATCGCCGTGAGAGGGTGGTGGGCAAAGAGGTCGCAGCCGCAGACCTGGGAGGTGCCGCCGTCGCCCGGGTTGGGCTGGGAGTGAAGCGATGTAGCTTTTTAAGTAAGTGTCCTCGCGCTGGCCTCCTCCCTCGTCTCCCCTCCCGTGGGGCGGCTGCGTCTCGGGGCCCGGCGGCCGGGCAGGGCCCCGAGAGCGAGGGGGTGGGGTTCCCTGCACTCCGCAGTCCGCTCCCGGGTCCGCCAGGTGGCCCCGCTCTGCCCCAGCCCTCGCGCCCCCAGGTGGGTGTCCCGTCCGCAGCTGGCGCGCCCTGCCCACTCCGCCCCTCGGGTCTGGAGGAGAGGGAGTGGTCGGCGTGGAGAATGCGCGCTCTGAGCCCCGCTGCGTCGACACTGGCGGGTGGGGCCGGGGTCCCGGGTCCGGGAAGCTCAGACTTGGCGGGGCGCAGGGCCGTCGCGGTTTCCCGGAGGCCTAGGGGCTGGTGGAGGGGAGACGGCGAGTGGGGGTCCGAGCCGCGCGCCAGGCGGTTGTGGTTTCCGGAGGTGCTGAGGGCACAAAGCGGGGAATCCCTGCCTGCCGGCCTCTCTCGGGGCGGGGTCTCTGCGTCCCCCCAGATAAAGATGGCTAAAGTAAAACTCTTACAGAGAGATGTTCTGGACTCTGAGTCTGTTCTCTCTTTTGGTTGAAAATGGACTGACCCGGAGCGCACGAGCCACTCGGTGCCCCCTTGGCCGCCCCTCGAGGTGCAGGGGATGTGGACACTCACGGCCCGTGCTCGGCAAAGGAGCAAGGGACTGGTCTTCACTGAGGAATTAGAGCATTCAGGGAACGAGGGCTGCTGGCAGTGCTGGAAGGGACTGTGAGGCTGCAGAGAGCTGGGATTTTACAAGTTGATGAGTTTCATGGAGAGAGGCCCCTATTTTGATTAAATAATGCTCTCTTCGTACTGGTCGAAGAGTAGAACAGTGGATTTTCTTTTTTTAAATAAATTTTTTTCGTTTTTTTTTTTTCTTTTTGAGACAGGATCTGGCTCTGTTGGCCAGGCTGGAGTGCAGTGCTGCGACCATAGCCCACTGCAGCCTCAGACTCCTGGACTCAAGCGATCTGGCTCTATTGGCCAGGCTGGAGTGCAGTACTGCGACCATAGCTCACTGTAGCCTCAAACTCCTGGACTCAGGCAATTCTCCCACCTCAGCCTTTGCAGTAGCTGGGACTACAGGCACATGCCCCTATGCATGACTAATTTTTTAATTTTTTTTTTGTTGTTGTTGTTGTAGAGATGGGGTCTCGCTAGGTTGCCCAGGCTGGTCTTGAACTCCTGGCCTCAAGCTATCCTCTTGTCTTGGCCTTCTAAAGTGTTGGAATTACAGGCATGAGCCACCACGTTTTGCTGAGCAGTAGCTATTATTGTTTCAAGATCAGCCTGGCATGAAGGTCTGGTGTTGAGGCACCTTGAGGGTCCGCAGCACTGAGCCCCAGGGCCTGCTGTCACCCAGGGGTCCGTCCGTTAACTGGGTGAGCAGTAGGCTGAGTGTTTGCTGTCAGGGCTTGAGTACTCCTGGCCTTGACCATTGTATGGGAGTTGGGGGGTCTCAGCCACCCACACACTACATAGGGTCGTTCCCAGGGGAATAGTAGTTTTCAGGACGAAATGGGTGGGAAGCTGCGAAACCCATCTTTGGGGATAGCTTTGGGGACAGCAGAGGATGACAAAGCTGCAGAGGTGGCCAGAGGTCAGACAAGCCAAGTCCGGAGCGCCTAGCAGAGAAGTTGAGGGCTCATCTGGTGGGGAGTGGAGGTGAAGCCCTTGAGGAATCCTGCAGAGCTCAGCATTGGAAAGATCACTTTGTTGTGTTGCTGGTGGACAGGTGTGAGTGAAATCCAGGGGGGCAGACCCAGGAGAGACAGCCTGGAGGCCTTGGGGAAGCGGATGCAGGATGGTGCAGAAACAGAGACGTCTCCTGACCAGCCCTAGGGACAGGAAAGCACCTGGGGCTCTGACGTTGGATAGACTTACATTCCCAACTTACACCCAGCCTTGCTGGGTCACCTGAAATAATCTTGGCTGGCAGCTTCCCTGGGAGGGCAGGCAGAGATATCTGCAGAGGGCAGGGGGTTAGGGTCTTTGTTGTGCCTCTTTGTGGCTGTTGGACTGTCTCTCCTTCACGAAGACCTGCTACTAGGTCTTTGTTACTGATGTTTCTGTGTCCTGGTTAGGGTTTCTGTGGCATCTGCCCTGCTGGGGCTCTTCCTGTCTATCATTTGCCAGCATTAGGCTGGCGTCCAGTGACTCCATCCTCTCACAGAGGAGCAGAGGAATGTGACCACGTCATGATAGATACCAAGCCTAGAAAGGATTCAGTCCAGAAGGACCCAGACTTGATTTGTCCTGAGGTTGATTATCTGAGGAACACTGAGAAGTGGCCCGAGAGCTCCTGCTCATCCATCTAAGATGCTGGTACAGGGATGGGTGCATGGTGGTTCTCCCTGTGGTCCGGGAACAGGGTGATGCAGTGGCGTTCGAAGGGGCTGTTGAGCTTCTCCATACTTTCCTGCTCCCTGCATAGTCTCACCCTGGTTCTGGTCCTGGCCCTTCTCTCTGACCCTGCTCATTCCAGCTATCACTGTGTTTGGCTGGTGCTGAGCACTTTGATTGTTTTGGACTTTTTGCCTTTGTGCCTGCTTGGCTATGACCTGGGGCTAGCCTCTCACCTACCCTGGATGTGGGTGGTGGAGTTCCAGCTCCTGTGAGAGATGACCTCTCCTTGGGAGCTTGGGCTTCCTCTGAATGCCCCATTTTCATTTCTTTCAAGTGGGTGAGTGGTTACTCCATGTCTGCAGGGAGTCAGGCGCAGGGCTGGGTGCTTTAATGAGAAGCTTTGAGAAGAATATGGACAGGATCTATAAATGTTATAGGCCAGAAGGACGCAAATGACTGTAACAGCATACATTACATCACCACATTGCGTCCATTGGTATGAAAAATAGATGAATCGAAAGTTTCGTTTTTTGCCTTTTCCTTCTGAATCATAAATTAGACCAAATGGAGAATACTGCTCATCTGTTGGGAAGTGTTCCTAGTCAGAGGGTTTGGTCAGAACCCTGGAAGGGGTAGGAACAGCCATCGCAGTGAGATTTCAGCAGGGAGTGCATCTCTAAGGAGGCTGAATTTTCCATGCTGCGTTCTGCTGAGCTGGGCTGCACGCTGTCACCAGATGGTTCCTGACCACCCCGACTTATCTGGGCTAGCAGGACGGTTGAAGACCACAAAACCACGAGTGTGCACACTACCGCCTGAAATACTAGTTTGAGGCCTTGCATGGCTCTCCTGTTCGTAGAATGACTGCAGATAACTCACATTCAGGGGTATTTGGTATCTCCAGCTAACTCAACTGGATTTTCTGTACATTTTCCCTTCATTTGAACCCAGGCAGGGATGAAATTTTTTTTTTTTTTTTTGAGATGGAGTTTCGCTCTTGTTACCCAGGCTGGAGTGCAATTGCGCGATCTCGGCTCACCGCAACCTCCGCCTCCTGGGTTCAGGCAATTCTCCTGCCTCAGCCTCCTGAGTAG